TACTTGGGGTTAAGCATAATTTGGAGTTTTATTGGTCTTTTATTCATTTATGAACATAGGAAAGTTATGTCAAATTCATTCCACTGTCAACATTGTATTTTTATAGCCTATCACAGCCTATAATCCTTTTTTTCCCCGCTCTTAATTCTGGCTATATACCTTTTGATCACCTCTTCTTCTTCTTCTTTTTAATAGTTTTTGAGTTGTAGATGACACAATACATTTATTTTATTTATTCATTTTTATATGGTGCTGAGGATCAAAACCACTGCCTCACATGTGCTAGTCAAGTGCTCTACCACTAAGCTAAAATTCAAGCCTTTGCTCACCTCTTTCTTTGACAGCACTTTTGTGCCATCATTTCCATAAAAAAATAATTCATTGCTTCCCATGTATGGTTAATTCATTTGTTATTTTATTAATGATGGTTTAGAAAACCTTCTTTAAGTGTTATGACTGTATGAGTTAGCTTTTAGTTGCTATGACCAAAATACCTGATAAGAACAACTTAGAGGAGGAAAAGTTTACTTGGGTCCAGTTTCAGAGACCAGTTTCAGAGTCCTCAGTCCATGATTGGCCAACTCCATTGAAGAAACATCATGGTGGAAGGGCATGGTGGAGGAAAACTACTCTGCTCATCGAAGCCAGGAAACAGAGAGAAAGAGGGGAGGTGGCCAGGGATAGATATAGTCCCCAAAGTCATGCCACCAGTGATCTCTCTCCAACCATGTCCCACCTGTCTATAGTTACCACCGGGTAGTCCATTCAAATATTAATCCATCAAGTGGATTAATCCACTGATGAGGTTCCAGCTCTCACGATCCAATCATTTTCTAAAAGCCTCACCTCTGGACCTTGCCACACCAGGAACAATGCTTTCAACACATGAGCTTTTGGGGATCATCCAGATCCAGACCATAACAGTGACTTATTGGTAAAGTCACACTTTTAGGATTGTTGTCAAATTTGGGGAAAACCTTTAACAAATTTCTTTTCTAAATGAGCTGTAAAGTTTCAGGGTGTTTCAAGTTTTCTTGTGTGAAGGACCAGTCTTAAATACTCTGAATTGATGGCGCTCGTTAACCAGAGCAATTCAGATGCATTCCTAAATTGCTCCTACATTGCTTTGAGCCACATAATTGTATAATAAAATTACTCTTATGTTACATACACTGTACTTATTGATGAAAACATGTGGGAGTTTTGTCACTAGAACACTTGTTTCTCTAGGCTGTCTCGCTGTGGTGGTGGCAATTTCGTGTGCCATTTCATCTGGAACTGCCAGACCTCATCAGGGCAAAATGCATCAGTGATACCAAGATATGGTTCCATATATTGGGATGCATAAAGGGTCCAACTTCACACACACAGAGGTATTCCCTGTCTGCAGGACTGTTCTAATACTCAAGCCCTACAGTCACTGCGACTCTGACGAATTTCATTTCACCTGAATCCCATTTTTTTAAAAAATGTGCCTATAATGAATGCATTGTTGCATACATTCTTTTTTTTGGGGGGGGGGGTAACCAGGGATTGAACTCAGAGTCACTCAACCACTGAGCCACATCCCCAGCCCTATTTTGTATTTTATTTAGAGACAGGGTCTCATTCAATTGCTTAGCATCTCACTTTTTTGCAGAGGCTGGCTTTGAACTCGCGATCTTCCTGCCTCAGCCTCCAGAGCTGCTGGGATTACTAGCATGCAGCCCCCTCCCAGCATTGTGTCCATTCAGGAGAGATCTTCCATTTTGACAGGACATCCATGAGAGATGAGTCCTATGTTCTGACAGTGGGAGAATTTTCCACAGACTAGCTCTGGCTCTGCACATTTCAAACCTATTTTTTTCTCCACAAATTGCCAGTGTGGGACTCTTGATACATTCATATTTTAATATGGCCTCTGGCCTGAGCCACCAGGTCATGGCAAGGGGCAGGTGAGCCTGGTGGGTATTGGTGGATGGGAATATTATTCCTGGAAGCCATTCCTAAATCAGAACAGCTAGCAATAATTTAACTCCACACAGAAGGGACAAAAACTCACATAAATATATCCCACCAAGCCAAATAAACATGTCTTCACTCAACTTGCCCCTAGCCAGATCCCCCAAATTCCCATGGCTATTAAACACAAGTGAAACCAGGACAGAGAAGTTGGAGTGGAAGAGAAAGTGGCCTCACTTTTGTGAGTTTTACAGAATCATCAGACTAGGTAAATACATGCTGGGAGCTCTCCCAGGGTGCTGGAGGGCCTTTGTCTGTGAGCTTCATTAACAGCTCAGTACTTCCTCCTTTGGCTTGGACAACCAGAGGAGCCAGGGGACAGTCCCATTAATTCTCACCAGGAAGCACACTGTGGTTTCACACGACCACCCGCACACTCGCCCTCTCGTTTTCTACTACAACCTTGTCAGGCAGATGTCATCCTTCCAGCCCACAGATGAAAAGTGGAGTCTAGAGAGGAAGGGCCCCTTGGCAGGTCACACAGTTGGCAAGCGACAGAGCCCGGCTCTCTAATGTCCCAGTCTGGGGCTCAGTCCCACACCAAGGCCATCTTCAATAGTCATCGTGACATGGGGGCATTTTATAGAGCCATGGCCTGTGTGGTCCCCTCATGCCTACACCCACGGGTTCAAGGGCTCTTTTACACTCAGGAGTTTAGCTCACCTCCAGGGTGACCTGCAGGCAGTGTTACCCTCATTTTCTGGTGGAGGAAGTGAACTTGAAGCCAGGTGTCTGACAAGCCAGTGCTCTTTGCACTGCACTTTGCTTCTTCTCCCTTTAGGGACAGAAGTGGCCTCGGAGTATCATCTGGCCCCATCCCCCTGCTCCACAAATGGGAGACTGAGATGGAAGGCACGTGCCACAACAAGTCAGGACAGACTCTTGACCCAACTGTCAAGTGTGTCTCTCCACTTCTTCAGGCACCCAAGAGCCTTCAATCTGCTCCTCCATGGCTAGGGCTCCCCATTGTCGCCTGACCTCTGAGTGACCAGTCCAGCAACAGCCTGGCCAAGCAAGCCAAGTATTGTCTTCCTGCCCAAACGCTTTTTCTCTGTGGCTCTCCCGCCTCAGCCCCTGGTGAAGAGGGGAGAGAAGGGTCTTCAGTGAAGAGAAGCCCAGACAGAAGCGAGTGTAAACAAAGCTCCCTGGCAGAGGGGCGGATGGATAGATGAGCGCCCAGTCCTCCAGAGGGACTCGCGTCCTGAAACCGTCCTGTAGTCTTCCAATCCCATGAGCCCTCGTGGTACCCGAGTCCTGGATATTTTTCTGTTTTCACATTAACATTGAGAACCATGGTGGGTCCTTGTGCCATGTGATTTAGAATAGTAGAATTCTTTAAAACCATTCATAGGGTTCACAAGTCAAAACAAGAAGATATATTAGAAACTCATGTGCTTGGGGAGAGCATGAGGGGGTCCATAAACCATTGTGTTTTTTTGTTTGTCTGTTTGTTTGTACCAGAGATTGAACCCAGGGGTGCTTTACCACTGACCCACATCCCAGCCCTTTAATATGCTTTATTTAGTCTCACTGAGTTGCTTAGGGCCTCACTAAGTTTCTAAGGCTGACTTTGTACTCAGGATCCTCCTGCTTCAGCCTCCCGACCCGCTAGAATTATAGGCATGTGTCACCATAACTGGCTTCCATACACCCTATTTCTTAGTTCCCAGTGGATAACCACTTCTGTTTATTCTTTGCATATCTTTTTCAGCATTTCTTGATGAAGATATATGAAAATATTCTTACTCTCCTGCCCACCCAAAGGTGGCATATATTTGTGTTCTTTGCAAAGGAAGAGTTCATCATGACCTGCTCCTTTCACTTAGCAATCCTGGAGATCTTTCCATATCGTGGAGTGATGCATTTTTAATCCCACTTAAATCATGATTTTCTGGGCTCCTTGCAATCTAGTTTTTTATAGACTATGGCCAGGTTTTGTTGGGAAATTTCAGTGTTTCCAAATTTCTAAAAGTCTCCTCATTGTCCTGACAGCGTGCCTGGAGATATGAAGTCTAGTCTGCTCTGAGCCACAGAGTGCAGGGCCGAACTGGGGGCTCTTCTAGGACTGGAAGGTGAAGGAGAGAGGTGAGATTGGGCCTGTGCTCCAGTAAGGGCCAAATCCAAGGTGAGGGGCCTTACTCCCCCCAGAGTTAGAGTTGAAACTGCAGAGAAAGAGAAGGGCCTTCATTGTGCAAACCCCATGTAAGTTGCGGGGGGCAGGTAAGGCAGAAGACTGTCTCTTGGGGAACCTGAGGGGTCAAAGGCTCCCAGTCAATTCATCAGAAGCACATGGCTCCTGCCAAGGGGTGAGCTGAGCCCAGAGGCTGGGTCACTTCATGATGAAAGAAAGAACAGGTCAGAAGATGACTCTAGACAATGTGCTTGGGGAGAACATGGAGGAGCGAGGTTTGCTCTGGTGTCAGAGTCAGGGCTTGGCCATGGCAGGGAAAGGAACTCCTCAACGTGATCCTTCCACTAGACCTGCGGCCTCCGCCCCACTCTGCCCCGCAAAGCTCAGAAAGAGGTCTCCTGTCTGGGTCAGATCACACTGCCTTTTCTTCTCTGCCCAGAAACTGCTCCACTCACTGAGTTAGTGGCTGTCACAGCCTCCCTGCACCTCCCTGCTCCTGCCTGTCCTCAGCTCTGCTGGGACCCTGCCGCCCCTGCTCTGGGAGGTCCTCCCACACCACCATGGCCCCAGTCAGGACAGCACCGGGGGCTGTGGAACCAGGCAGCTTCTCCTTCCCTTCCCACGTCCACTGGCCCCCCTCCGTGGACATACCATCTGTCAAGGAGCCTGCCTTCACCCCAGAACCCGCAGCAATCGTTAGCAAATGCGATGGGGGAAGATCTTTACCTTTACCCCTGCTTCTATCTCTGTGGCTTAAAACCCTCAGCTTCCCTGGCTCTGGGCCGTGTCCTCTCACACCCCCTCCCTCCCCAGGAACCAGGGGATTCATGCCCATGGGGCGGGTGGGGGGGTGGCTTTCTTGGGCTTGTCTCTGGAATGACACTTCCCACCCACTGCTCTTGTGGTTATATCCTCCTCCAGAACTCACCTCCAGAACCCAGCTCGAGGCCTTTTTTGACCTACAGCCTGGCTCCTGCATCTCCCCAACACTTCACAACGGGTCCCCTCCTCTTTCAAGGAACTTCCAAGTGTCTCTCTTTTCTCCTGCTCCTCCTCTGCTTTCTCCTGTCTTAGATGTACTGTCCAGGTTATGGGACCGTCCATTAGGGCCAGGACATCTTTTCACAGAGAGATTTTTGCTTTAATTAGGCAGTTCTGCTGAGATGGTGGCCGATGGGTCCACATGCCTGAAGACAGGCACAGCTTTACATGAGGACATTTGCGCTGCCTTCCTCCTCAGCTCAGCAGGTGACAGCACCTCTCCTCTTCCTCCATTCAGTGAATTCTCCCTGCAGCCTTCTGTCTGTTACTCTGAGCCGGTACAGAGTCACACAAGAGCAGGCCATCATCACTGCCCTCTAGGATCCCCCAACGTGCTGTGGAGAACAAGTCATAAGCAAGAATAATTTGAGACCTTTCTTGTGACACTGAACCCCCTTTAGTACTGTTGAGCATTTTTTTGTACATCTATTAAGTGCAAGGCATTATGCCGAGAGCGCTTCACTTATGTTACCTCATTAAATTCTCACAACTACCTTGCAAGTTACTTATTATTCAGGTCACTTTACATATGAGAAGACTGAGGCCTAGAGAGGTTGAGCAACCTGCATAATATCATACAGCAGGCACAGAGCCAGGAGAACCTGCGGCCAAGACCAGGCTGCTGCCACTCATGGGAACAGGCCTCTGTCAGCTCTGACGTGTCCAGGGGCAGCTTTCACAGTGGTTCTTCACCCCGACCCTCCTCTACCCTCAGGGCAATAGGCTGGAGGTTTGGGACCGAGGTCTGCCCAGAGGGTGGAAGAGAGCAATTTGCCTGCCCAGGGTGAGGGATGAAAAGCAAGCTTGTATATTCCTCTGCAAGTAGGACAAAGTTCACAGGGGCACAGTGAGCCAGGGACGCAGGTCTCATGGGAGTGATGGGGTATCCTTGCGTGTTCACGGGCTTGAAGGCCTCAGTGTGGCTGGGTACTTACTGCACCTACAGCGGGAACTCCCAGCAGGAAGGAGCCTCATTGTCCCATTGCCCGACCTTCACGAGCACAGCACGAGGAGAGGCAGGAGAAACGATCCTCTCCACAGAGGTGTCCACAGGCATCACAGGCCAAGATGGAGAGTGAGGAGTGCACAAAGGCTGTGGGAACTGGAGAAGAGGACTAATGCCGCTTGAGGAGGAAATCAGGAGGGCTTCCTGGAGGGGATGCTTGAACTGAGTCTTGAAGGATGAGCAATCCTTCAAAATAAGGAAGACAAGAGAGGACCTTCCAGGCCAAAGGCTAGAGAGGAAAGACAGGGTGGCAGTTTTGAGGAACTGGAAATATCATGACCAGAGGCTCAGCCAGGAACTTGGTTACAAAGCATTATTTATGTGAAGAAAAGGGAACCCTTGGACTCTGAGGGTGGGAATGTAAATTGGCACAGCCACTATGAAAGACAATAAAGAGGTTCTTCCAAAGAATAAAAACAGAATCACTATATAACTCAGCAATCCTACTCCTGGGTATTTACCCAACAGATTTGAACTCCTTGTTCGCTACAGCATCATGGATGAGGCTAGGGAACGGAATCAACCCCAGTGTCCACAAGTGGACGAATGGATAGAGAAAATGTGGTGCATACACACAACGGAAGCCTTATAAAAAGAAGAAATTCTGTTATTTGTGACAACATGGATGGAATTGGAAACATTATGAAAGAAGCAAAATAAGTCAAACACTGAAAGACAAACATGGCAAGTCCTCACTTACGTGTTGGATCTGGAACCACCTCAAAGGCTCACGAGTTGACGGCTTGGTTCCCAGTGCAGCAGTTCAGAGGTGGGACTCTTGGGGAGTGATAAGACCCCGAGGGTTCTCACCTCAGGACAGCAGCACTGGGAGGTGGTAGGAACTTAGGAGGTGAGGCCTACTTGGAGGAAGCAGGTTGCCGGGGGTGTGCCCTGGGAGGGTTTATCTGTCCCCCCACCGTCCATCTCTGTCTCTACTTCCCAACTGCCATGGAGTGAACAGTTCTCTTCTGCCATGGCTTCTGCCATGAAGTCCTGCCTCACAACAGGCCCAGAAACAGGAGACGGCCGGCTAGATTTCACTGAACTCTCTGAAACTATCAACCAAAATCAATCCTCCCTCCTCTAAGTTGATTTTCTCAGGGATTTTATCATGGTAACCCAACACGGAATCTAAACAGAAGCAGATGGTAGGATGGTAGTTGCCAGGGGATGAAGGTAGAAGAGGGGGGTGGGGTCAAAGGGGACGTGTAGGAATAAGTTTTTTCTCTTTAGATCTATTTTACAGCCCAGAGAACATAGCCAGTACTTAAGTACTGTACATGTCAAAGTCATTAAGAGAATAAAATCCAAATGCTCTTATCACAAAAAAGTTAAATATTTGAGAGGATGGAATGTTAACGTGATTTAATAATTCCGTATTGTATTCAAAATCATAACGTCACTTTCTACCCCATAAATATATACAACTATAATTTTTCAATGGACAAATGATGTCTGGAGAGCAGCCCCTACTGTTATTTACTTCTCAGGAGAAAAAACCACAAAAATGCAAAACAATTCTGAAAATCAAAACTGACAATCAATTACCACAATCTGAAAGGCATAACCACCACCTGCCCAGGCTTCCACAGGGAAACAGAGCTGCCCACTGCTGGGGTGCGGGTTGAGGGGAGAGAAATACATTTTATTCTCCTGCCATCCAGAGACTCCACATATCTAGCAAATAGAAACTTGAACAGCTGCCCGCTAGCTTCAGATGTGCTGCTTTTTGAGTTAACCAGAACAATGTTCTTAAATTTCTGCCCCTGCATCCACCTTTCCACAATCGCGAGAGGTTGCAATCTCAAAATGACCAAAGGAGGGAAAGTTGAGGCGATTGGGGCTGATACTTCATGTCCTGAAAGGTGGAGGATCTCAAGGTAATGCGCAGAGTTGGGAGCAGAGAAGGGAGCTGGGACTGGGAACGATGGGCAAGTGGGTTCCAGGTTTTCACTAACTCCATTGATACAGAGTAGCAGAGACCTCAGGGATGGGAACAGGGGGAACAGAAGCTAGCAAAAGAACAGCAAATTAAGCCCAAGTAAATAGAAGGAAGGAATTTTTTAAAAAAAAAGTGAAATTGGGAAACAAATAGAGAAAAATCAACAAAGCCAACATAGACTCTGAGACGATGAGTAAAATGATAAGCCTTTCCAAAACAGAGATAAAGCACAAAAGCTATATGAGGAATAAAGTAGAAATTTGTAAGTATCCTATAGCTAGTAATGAAAATAAAGAGATATTGTGGGAAAATTGATACCAATAAATTTGACAATTTAGATGAAATGGAAAAACTCATTATAAGCATAATTTATCAAAACTGACACCAGAGCCACGTGCAGTGGCACACGCCTGTAATCCCAGCGACTTGGGAGGCCAGGGCAGGAGGATTGCAAGTTCAAAGGCAGCCTCAGCAATGGCAAGGCACAGAGCAAGTTAGTGAGACCCTGTCTTTAAATAAAATACAAAATAGAGCTGGGGGCTGGGACCGTAGCTCAGTGGTAAAGTGCTTGTCTCACACGTGTGAAGCACTGGGCTCAATCCTCAGCACCACATAAAAAGTTATTGTGTCCATATACAACTTAAAAAAAATTAAAAATAAGGCTGGGGAGGTGGATTAGTGTCCCTGAATTCAATCCCTGGGATCCCCCCAAAACATACACATACATTCAAAAAGCTGACACCAAAAGCACTAGAATATATGAATTATCCTATAATTGTTGAAGTTAATTTATCACTAAATTAAAATTTCTTTTCATTCAAAGAAATTTTGAGGTCATTTTGTAGTATTACCAGTGAATTCTTCTTAACACCAAAGAAAGAAATAATTTCAATCTTACAAAAATTCTTCCAGGTGATGGAAAAAAAGAAACACTTCCCATCTCATTTTATGTGGCCATCATATGCTTGATTCCAACCTACAAGAACTTCAAAAGAAGGAGAAGTGAAGGCTAATATTTCCCATGAACTTAGCTGTAAAACTATATAAGAAAATATTAGTGAATTAGATGCACTGATTTATTAAAAGAAAAATACATCACGGCCAAGTTGGACTTATTCTAGGAATAAAAGGCAGTTTAACATTAGAAAAAGCAACATAAAGTCCTCAAACTAACATAATAAAGAAATCACACTTCCTCAATAAATGAAGAAAAATTGATAAAATTCAATATCCATTCATGATTTAAAAATAAAAAATTAGAAATACAAAGTTTTTTTTTTTTTCATTCATGTGATTAAGGTACCTACAGAGCCCTAAGCAAACACCATACTTAGTGGTGAAATACTGAAAACTTTCCTCTGGGATTGGAACTAAGTTAAGAAGGCCTGCTATCATTACTTTTCATTCAATTTTCCCTTGTACTTGGATTTCCCCAGTGTGATAGGGCAGGAAAAAGAAACATTTTAGAAAGAAATAAAGTGATCACTGTGCATAGGCAACATGATTATGTGCATAGAAAAAAAAGCAGCTACACCTGTAGAACCGATAAAATTCAGCAAGGCTGTGGATATACTGACTATGTAAAAATATCAACAGTATTCCTATAACCACTGTTATGGTTTACATATGAGGTGTCCCCCAAAAGCTCCTGTGTGAGACAATGCAAGGAAGTTCAGAGGTGATATGATTGGGTTATGACAGTCTTAACTTGGTAAGTGCATTAGTCCTCTTGTAGAGATTAACTTGGTGGTAACTGAGGCAGAAAGGGTGTGGTTGTAGGAGGTGAGTTGATGGGGGTATGCCCTTGGGTTTATATTTTGCTGGTGGTGAGAGGGGAGTGTGCTGTATTGCGTTCTCTCTCTCTCTCTCTCTCTCTCTCTCTCTCTCTCTCTTCCTGGTTGTACACAATATTTTATTTTTATGTGGTGCTGAGGATCGAACCCAGGGCCTCGCAGGTGCTAGGCAAGCGCTCTACCACTGAGCCACAATCCCATCCCTCTCTTCCTGGTACAATGTCCTGAGTCTCTTTCCTCTGCTACACCCTTCTGCCATGATTTTCTGCCTCACCTTGGGCCCAGAGCAATAGAGTTAGCCATCTATGAACTGAGACCTCTGAAACCATGAGTGCCCAACTAAACTTTTCCTCCTCCAATTGTTCTTGACTAAAAGAACCACATACAAAGAAATAGAAAGTAAAATTCTAAAAACAAGACTATTACTACACATCCAAAAAGCAAACATATCTTGGAATAAATCTAAGGAAAGATTTATAAAACGACATAGTGCGTTATTGAGATATGAAAGAAGACCTAAATAAAGGAAGAAAGAATATACCATGCTCATAGATTGGGAGACTCAAGAATATTTAGAGCAGTGCCAATCTAGATAGCCTAAAAGCTGGTAGCAGTCCAATGTCCTCCAACCATGGTGACATAATCATACAATTGAGTGTGAATGTTCACAACAATGAACACATAGCTACATGCAGCAACACGGATGAATTCTGTAATGTGAGGGCAAAGAAGCTAAGCAAGAGTATGAGTCAGTATGATTCACATAAGATTTCATTTACACAAAAATTCAAAAACAGGTAAAAACTTACCTATGGTGTCCAGAGTGCAGCTTCTTGCTCTTGCTGGGGGTTCATGACGGAAAGGGGCCAGAGGGAAGATTTCTGGGGTGCTGGCCATCCTTTTCTTGATCTGCATGGTGGTTTCACCACGGTGTCACTTTGTGACTATCGAGCCACGCACTTATGGTTTGTGTACTTTTCTGAGTGTATGTTTGAATTTAGCAAAAGTTTTAATGAGAAAATAATTTCAGAAGTAGAAAAATGTGATGAAAGTCAGACTCGGTGGCCCCGGGGGGGCTCTGTGTTGTGTCTGGCTTCTGCTGCTCAGTGGTAGAGCTCAGCACTTTATTTACTCATTGAATCCTCTCGGGTTAAACAGTGCTGTGTGAAACAAATAGCAGTCTCATCACCATCCCATTTTGAATACTAGCAAATGTTATTACTCATTTTGCTGAAGAGGACACAGAAGCTCTGAGGAGTGAGAACCCTGAGTCAAGTTGAGCAGGGTGACACAGGACTCCCGATCTTTGCCAACCCACTGAGTCAGCTTGTCAGCCTTTCCTCTCAGTCCCATCCCTTTCCCAGTTCTCGGAACAGTGTTTCCCAAGCTGCATAATTCATGATCACATGGTCCCTTTGCCATGTTTGATGACACAAAAGATAATAACGATGCCTGTTGTTTTAGCACTTGCCAATAAGAGATGCCTTTTTTAAGAGCTTGGAACACTGTGCCAGGAAAATAGTTGAACAGAGTCTTCTGTATTTATGTCAGGAGAAGCAGAATTGTGATGGGCAGCACAGTACTCAGTCCACAGCCAAAAAAAGTGTATAATGATTTTCTGCATCTTTTTTGGGGGGGTTCACAATGGATTGAACACAGGGCCACTCAACCACTGAGCCATTTCCCCAGCCTTATTTTATATTTTATTTAAAGACAGGGTTTCACAGAGTTTCTTAGTGCCTCACTTTTGCTGAGGAAAGCTTTGAACTCAAGATCCTCCTGTCTCAGCCTCCCGAGCCACTGGGATTACAGGTGTGTGCCTGGCTGACTTTTTGCATCTTTAAAGCCCTTGATCTATTAAGGCTTTTTAATTAGCAAAGAATAATGTGCTAGGCAAATGCTAGATATAATCCAGCCCCTAGCCCCTCTTCATAGCATCTTCTTTTCTAGGAATTATTGAAGTTTCTCACAGTTAACTATCCATAAAAATTTGGGATAATCAGTTTAGTCTCAGTTATGTAAAACTGAAGAGTTTTAAGGAAATCCACCAAATTATTACAATCATTATCTCTGGGATGTAGGTCTTTTGCAGTCCCAAATTTTCTATAATGAATACATACCACTGTTTAAATTGGGCAGCTGTTTTAAAATCAGTTTACAGGGGCTGGGACAATAGCTCAGTGGTAAAGCATTTGCCTTGCCTGTGTGAGGCACTGGATTCAACCTCAGTGCCACATAAAAATAAAGATATTGTGTGTTCATCTGCAACAACAACAAAAAATAAAATCAGTTTATAGTGTTTTTTGTAATCATATGATTATAATATCAAACTATATATAATAGCTATTATATATACATGTTATACATTATCTTACACATTAAACTATACATAGTAAAAGACTGGAAGAATTTGTTAAGGTTTTTCTTTTTCCCCCTGGATATAAAGCAATGAATTTCTTTCTTCCCTCTATTTTTTGGAATTTTCTAATTTTCTATGTCAATCGGTATATTAGTCAAGATTTTTAACTATAAATAGCAGAAATGGACTGCAGCTACCTTGAGCAGAGAAGGATTTTCTGTAAGAACGTTGGGTAGTCGCAGTCTCCCGCAGAGGGCTGGAAGCTGAGGAAGATGTGGCAAGACCCAGCCAAGGGGCACACAGAGACATTCTGTCACTAGTCTGGAGCCCACACCCCATTGTAAACATCCCCTACTGTTCCTGTACCTTTGTGTCACCCTTTCAAGGTCCAGACTTCAGAGGAAGAACAATTGACTCTGACATCCCTCCTATCCTGGCTGCCTGAGTGCAGGGAGAAGGATGTTTGGCTCTTACACTGGGCTTCCCCCTAACTCCTACCAGGAGGACACAAGGACCCTCCCAAACAGAGTGTTCAGATGTGAGATAGCTCAAAAAAAGTAAATGTGCACTACATACACATGTGTACACACACACACACACACACACACACACACACACACACACACACTTTTTTCTCAGCATCCCAAATCAGGTCCCAGACTTGGTCTAATAAAGACATTAATCGCCATGATGAGGCATTGCTTTAAAAATGGAGAAAGAGAATAAACCTCTTTTTTTTCTGGGGGGGAAGGGGGGCGTACAGGGGATTAAACTCAGGGGCACTAAACCACTGAGCCACATCCCCAGCTAATATTTTATTAGTGACAGGGTCTCACTGAGTTGCTTGGAGCCTTGCTAAATCGCTGAGGCTGGCTTTGAACTCGCAATCCTCCTGCTTCAGCCTCCCGAGCCACTGGGATTACAGGCCTGCACCATCGAGCCTGGCAAACCTCGGTATTTTTTGATACAAGACATTTTGTGTCACACACCGATCAGAGTGAATTTTACTTCACAAATATAGATTGAAAAAGATATTTTATTAGTTGGGCATAGTGGGACACACCTGTAATCCCAGTTACTTGAGAGGCTGAGGCAGGAGGATTGGAGGCCATCCTCAGCAATTTAGCAAGATCCTGACTCAAAATAAAATAGGAGCATTGGAGGGGTAGCTCAATGGAATAGTGTTTGCCTAGCATGCATGAAATCCTGGGTTCAAATCTCTGTACTACAACCGCTCCCAAACTAATATAGTTTATAGGGGCAAGTTTTAAGCCAAGAGTTGTAGAAGCAGGCACTCATGCCTTGCCATTCCCTCATCCCCCAAACAGGTGTGCCATGGTCAGATGCAGTGGGACACACAATGGGCCTGTGTTTGGGGAGATGGAGGAGCCACATCTCCTCAGTTGCTCTCTTTCCTTTCAGGATCAAGTTTGCGGGGGCGGGAGTGGGGTATAAAATCAGACTGCTTGGGCACTGTGCACTAGGACTTTACAGTTCCAGGAGTTACCAGAGCAGGTGAATCTTCCAGGAGGAATCTCTCCGTGGGTAGAAGCAATCAGTGACAGGGAGGGAGGGTCACAATACTCAAAATGGCCTGGGTAAGGAGGGATGGGTTTTTTTTTTGGTTTTTTGGTTTTTTTTGCTACTGAGCATTGAACCCAGGGGCACTTAACCACTGAGCCACATCCCTAGCCCCTTTGTACTTTATTTAGAGACAGGGTCTCACAAAATTGCTTAGAGCCTCACTAAGTTGCTGAGGCTGGCTTTGAACTTACAATCTTCTGCCTCAATCTCCAGAGCCACTGGGCATAGCCACTGGGATTACAGGCGTGTGCCATCTCAGCCAGCTGGAGGGGTGAGCTAAAGAACACAGGAGCACGCCAAATCTGGAGCATGTAAGTTATTCCCACACAAGGTCGTGGTTCCTGCTCTAAACTCTCAAAGAAGCCTGCATGTCTCCTTTGTATTGCTTATCCCAATTGTAATTAAATCAATCATTGCATAATTAGTGTTGAATCTCTGCCATGAATCACAGGCTCCTTGGGTCTGTGACCCAGGTCTAACCATTTCACTGCTATATCCCTAGTGCCTGGCATTTGGTCAGGTGGAGTAGGTAACCCGTTTAAGCATTGGATGAGCAAATGAACCCACCAGAAGCAATGCCTAAGGCAGTTGACTATGGGATAGGAAATTGAGGGGAAATTGTGAAGCAGCTCTAAGTTCAAAGAGTTCTGCCCAGACCAAGGGCGCTGGGTGAGATAGCCCAGGTGGGCTGAGAAAGCTAAAAGACCCCAGCATCCCAGGAGCACTAGGGAGGTAAGCAGAGAACTAACAGAGGATGGGGTTCTAGAAGCTGAGGGGGGGTTTGTGAATGGAGAAGTCAGTGGCGTCAAATGCTAATAGGTCCTGTAAGTTGATAATCACCACCGAGTACACAGCATTGATTTTGGTGCAACGGATCCTCTTCTAACAGCTCTGAGAATATCAACTTGCTTAATTCTTACAACAAACATGCCATGTAGGCATCCTTATCCTCTCCCTAAAATGAGGATACTGAGGCACAGAGAGCACAGCCAGCTATTAAATGCTAGGGCTGCATTTTTAATCTAGGCTTTCAGATTAGGGTCCGTGCTGTCAACCAGGATATGTGTCTTAATTAGCAATTTCTGATGCTACAACAATATCTAACTCTGGGTAGTTTATAGAGGAAATGGGTTTATTTTGTCTCACAGTTTTGGAGACTGGGCAGTCCAACATCAGGTGACCCCATCTGGTGAGAGTCTCATGCTGTGCCAACTCAGAAAGCAGAAGAACAAGTGCCTCTCTTGTCAACAACCCACTCCCTCAAGAGCAAGAACTCACTCCTGAGAGAAAAGCATTTCATATATCTTAATGACCTAATCCCCTCTAAAGACCCTCCTACCAACACCACCACAACGGCGGTCTAATTTCAAGATGGGTTTTGGTGGGGACAAGTCATAGCAAATCTGCATCAGAGAAAGGGTGGCAGATAGGTCACTAATAACATGGGCAAGAGAAATTTCGGTGGCACTAAAATGCAGTGACCACAATGCAGTGAGAGAAAAAAAAAATGAGCTGGAAGCACAAGGGTCAAGGCTAGAAGCCTAACCTCTTCACTGCAACCATGTCACCTGGGAATGGGTAGCCAGCAGAACCTCAGTCAGGCTGCATTTTAAAGATACCAATGCTCAGGTGATTTGTGTGTACAGTGAAGTCAGAGAACCCATGGACAAGAGGATTCCTCCAGAAACTTTGGCTGAGGGATGGCAAAATGACATGTTAATAGTTATTTATTTCAGGAGGGAGATGTGACCAGGTTTATCAGTTTATGATAGTGTTTTGCAAACTCAAAGCCATGTTAGAACCACCTGGGGTATTTCTGAAAAAAATGAACAATTCTCAGAATTTCACCCCTAGAGAACCTGATGGACTTTGTGTGGTCCAGGTGATTTCACTATGTGAGGGAGTGTCTGAAACCCACCAAAAAGAAGGCACAAGGAAGACAGGATGGAGGTGTAGGTATAGGAATGACAAATGGATGGAGGCCTCCTAAGGGAAATGGGATAAGGCTGAAGAAATGCAAAGGAGCTGTTTGGGGGAAGGAGAAGAAACAGTGAGTAAAGCAGAGAAAGTAAGAAAATAGATACTCAAAGGGAATCACACTTGAGACATCTGAAAGCCATAGTTGTTCTTTTCTTTGAATTTTTAATTAGAATATGTTTGGTGTAGCAAGAATGGTACTTCAAAACAAATCATATGGCATTACTGGCTTCTCCTCCTTGGAGTATCTTCCCATCACACATGATTAGTAGCCTTCTGGTTATCTGGCCTTGTTGATTTCATTCTCTGCTCTCCATAACCTTCAGTATACCAAGCTCTTTGATGGTCCTTTTCCTACAATATAGTGGTTGTGTTCTTGCCTCAGGACCTTTGCACTGGTTGTTTCTGTCTCTGG